ACGAACAGACAGACAGACAGACAGACAATATTTTGTTGACTATTCGGGTAGTTTGGTTTAGGATCTTCAGGCAAATTTCATCATAAATGTTAGCTCATCCTAGTTGCAGAGTTTACAGACTGATTTGGTCTCCCTAATTTAAGATTTTCTTGTTATCCACACTCAAAAAGGAAATAGCATGAGTTCCTCTGCTTGAGAAAAGGTGGGGAAAAGGGTTTACCAGCATGGTTGGAGCGCGTTTTGCTATTGATGATTTTAGTCACACTTAACTGAGAGAGAGAGAACTACAGATTTTCGAGGTATGGCACCCCATATGCATCGACTTGAAGCCGTTCGTTGAAACATCCCGGGACAAGAGCACAGAAACCGTAGCATGAAAGTACACATCTTTAGAGCAAGAATATCAGATATGCATTTNGGGCACATTGAAGGATGCCATTTCTAGCTCTAAAAAGGATGAGCCTGCAATCTCATCCAGTTAGTTGCAATCAAAGTAGTGTGCTGCTGCTCTTGTTTGGTTATTTAGTCAAAGAATGTCATGTTGCAAAGTTAAATCCATGCTACAAGGCCACNCATGATCTGTCCTCAACGTGTAGAGACGTACTTATGTCGCCCATGCTCGTAACTCTAAATAAAATTAAAAACAAATTCGAGTGTATAAACCAGTTGCTNGTCAAAGAATGTCATGTTGCAAAGTTAAATCCATGCTACAAGGCCACATCATGTTATCTTGCTTATGTTTGTTATGTCAAAATTATTCTGTTTGCTGGATTGAACAGAATTTTAAGTGATTGGACAAAAGCTTGACTCATTAGCTAATAATCTGTATTTGAGCTGGGTTTAAAGATATTTATTTTTGCTTCAAAGTTTTTTCCTCTTGCATAGTGGTGCAGAGAATATTACTTTACGACAGAGTTCTAGTTTCCCCTGCCTTTAAATACTTAATCAAATTCACAGACAAAGTTCCGCTTGCATCTAGGCGTACACTTGGTTTTACTGCACGATGTGAACTGCATTGAGAGCTGTTAGTTTGTTTTAAGTTGGGGATATGCGTTTACTGAGAAAAATTACAGAATGGTAGCTTCTTGGGTTGATTGCTAAATTGAATTTGCTTACACTTCAAAACTGACTGTGGCGTCAAGTGTTGGCAGAATCTGCTCAATTCTTCAACATGTGGAATTTTGATCACCATTGAACTCATGGTTAACGAACAGACAGACAGACAGACAGACAGACAGACAGACAGACAATATTTTGTTGACTATTCGGGTAGTTTGGTTTAGGATCTTCAGGCAAATTTCATCATAAATGTTAGCTCATCCTAGTTGCAGAGTTTACAGACTGATTTGGTCTCCCTAATTTAAGATTTTCTTGTTATCCACACTCAAAAAGGAAATAGCATGAGTTCCTCTGCTTGAGAAAAGGTGGGGAAAAGGGTTTACCAGCATGGTTGGAGCGCGTTTTGCTATTGATGATTTTAGTCACACTTCACTGAGAGAGAGAGAACTACAGATTTTCGAGGTATGGCACCCCATATGCATCGACTTGAAGCCGTTTGTTGAAACATCCCGGAACAAGAGCACAGAAACCGTAGCATGAAAGTACACATCTTTAGAGCAAGAATATCAGATATGCATTTGCTTTTCTGTAAACATGAGCAAGTGTACTCCCTCTTGCGGAGGGGAGCAAGCAGCTGGCGATCAGGGGCTTTTAGTCTGAGATGGAAACAACAGCTGCAGTTGGATACATTCCCTCTTTGACGTTTGTGACATTACGGGGGGCTGTCAGGTTTAAACCATCTCTAAGTGCCCCTAACATGGCTAGCAGTAGCAATGTCCCCATGGATATCACCTTTTTGATCTGCCAAGTCAATCTGTTGTAATATTGGACCTTCCACCTTCCTTACCTCCCTAACTATTTCAAATGCTTATTCCAATAACTTCATGTGGAACCAAACAGTCCAACTCAAACCTGAGAAATAGTCCAAATATGAATCTGGAGAACAACAGGGCCTTTCTAATGCTTTGCTCGGCACGGGTAACCTGTACTTGAAAACACACTGCAATCTGAATGGTTTTGAGAGGAATGTTGATGATAGTTGGATGAATCTATTTGGGACCGTTGGATGGACTTATTGAAGTTTGTCCTGTTTTATATTATAGTAGATCTTAAATGTGTTGATCACAGTAGGAGTAGGCCAAGAAAGGTTGCACTTCACTAAATATATACCACTTCATGACAACTTANTTGTCCTGTTTTATATTATAGTAGATCTTAAATGTGTTGATCACAGTTGGAGTAGGCCAAGAAAGGTTGCACTTCACTAAATATATACCACTTCATGACAACTTACCAGTACCCTCTGCAAGAACACTCACCGTTCTTGAAACAATGAAAGCGGTTTCCATCCCTCACAATTATCTCCCTATCAACCAATAGAGTCACATTTGTTATAAAATTATGACAATCTTTGCAGATGCGTATATTTTTCATAATGCGTATTGGAGCAGTTGATGGTGCATTGAAAAGACCAAAAACAACAGCCAACTTCTCACTGTGGTATAATGTATCTTCATTGCTTTCACATGAATATCCCCGGTCTTTAAACTCAGTTATTATCAACTCTATCCTTTGATGAATCTCATTGATCTGTGGATGTGTTCTGTCCCCTGCAGTAAAGAGATGAACCTTATCTCTTATTTCCATCCAGCTCTGGCCAGGATTTTTCCTCAACCCTCTCTGTCTCATCAAACTGCGAGTTTTCTCACCCAAGTCAGACCGTCCAGAATCATCATATGTGTTTGCAAGAAGCACATAAAATGCTAGATCAGATGGGTTAAGTTCAAGACCTCGCTTTGCCATATCTTCCCCAAGAAGTATGTTCTTGTGAAATCTGCAGGCACCCAATAACGTCTTATATATCAAAGCGTCTGGACTGAAAGGCATAGTTTCTATTACTTCCAAAGCTTCCTCTAACCTGCCAGCTCGGCCAAGGAGATCAACTAGACAAACATAGTGATCCAGTTGTGGCACTATACCATGTTTTTCTCTCATAGAATGGAAATATTCTGAACCCAGATCAACCAAACCACCATGGCTGCAAGCAAAAAGCACTACCAAGAGTGTAATAGAATCAGGTTTGATTTCTGCCAACCTCATATCTTCAAAGGTAGAGAGGGCAGAGGAGATATGCCCATTTGAAGACAATCCAAATATCAAACCATTCCACGAAATGACTTCTGGCTCTGAGATTTCCCCAAAAGCTCTCTGTGCATCCTTTATGCACCCACATTTTCCATAAAAGTCAACTAGGCCATTTGAGACAGAAATCCAGCTGCTTAAGCCAGATTTCAGAGAGTAGCAATGAAGCTGCTTCCCACGTTCCATTGCACCTAAGCTGGCTGATGCTGATAAGAAACCAGCCATGCTAAAGCCATCGATCTTAATGTCATCATCATACATGTTATTGATGATATTTAAAGCCATTTCAGGATATCCCATCTGATTAATTCTAGTGGCTAAACTTGTGTATGTGATAGCATCTCTATGACTCATCGTCCTAATGACACCCCATGCATCATCCACCATTCCTGAACCTGCATAAGCATCCACAAGAGCATTCCCAACAACTATATCCTTGTTTGCATTAGTCTTAGCTATGTACCCATGAAGCTCCCTTATTTGATTCTGGGATTTTATTGTACCACAAAGTCCAAGAATTCTAGAAAAGGTAAAGGAATTTGGTTGCTGCCCAATACACCTCATCTCCTCGAATGCCTGAAAAGCCTCTTGTTCAAGACCACATTCAGCCAAACCAACAATCAAGGAGGTCCAAGAGATAACATTCGGTGAGGTTATGCCTCGAAATACTTTTAAAGCATCTTTAAGCATGCTGGAACACTTCATGTACATATTCACCAGTGAATTTCCAACAGAAACGTCCTCCTCCAATCCGGCCATGATCACCTTTGAGTGAATCTGTTTTCCTAATTCCAATGCTGGAATTGATGTGCATGCATTCACCATTCCAGCATATGTATAATTATTTGGTACAATTCCAGAGACCAGCATCTCACAAAATGCATCAATAGCCTCCTTGAATTTCATGTTTTGAGTGAAACCAGAAGCTAGAGTTGTCCATAACAGCACATCTTGTTCAGGCGTCAGCTTTGAGACCTTTTCAGCATCCTCCATTCTCTGGCATTTTGAATACATGTCAGCTAGAGCTGTCTTCAAAACCAAATTCAGTTCAACTCCCTGGACTGTCAAGTGGGCATGGATTAATTTCCCATACCCTATACCCAGAAAACTGCATGCCTTCAAAATTTTCACTAACGTGTACTCGTTTGGATGAACACCTGCCTCAATCATACGGAGATAAAGGTTTAAGGCCAGATTCCAATTCTCAGCTTGCACAAACGAAGAGATCATCGTTGTCCAAGAAACGGTGTCACCATTGTTCATGTTAGTAAAGACTTTATATGCGTCCTCAGTATGATCCCATTTGGAGTACAACTCAATTAGACTGCTATTCAGAACTGGATTAAATGTGAACCCGTGTTTTATCATATAGGCCTGAATACACATCCCTTTATCAAATTCCCCCATAGCTGAACATGACCTCAACACACTTGAAAGCGTGAACTCATTAGGAGGTTGACCTACAATCTTCATCCAGTCATACAATTCAAGTGCCTCCTCGTGGTTTCCATGTTTGGCATAAGCAGACAACATTCCTGTCCATGACACAACATCCTTATACGGCATTTCATCGAAAAGGTGTCGTGCATGGTCAGGTCCGAAGCATTTACCATAGAGTGAGAGCAGATTGTTGCTCAGAAACAAATTGTCTTGAAGACCCAGTTTTATAACTGGGCTGTGAATAAATACACCCTCTTTCAAGGACTTTCTGTTGCAAAATGTGAGAATCTGAGAGCAAATGTCTTCAAGAAAACACAGCTCCGTTCTGTGGGTAATTTCTGGTACTGTTCTACATAACATCTCTCTGCCTCACAGAGAGATGTTAAAACAGCAATTGTTAGCACAACTATGAATTGGGTATCATGAAAATTGCAATTTCCATTCACTTCAAAGCAAAGGAGAGCCGGGAAAAAGTACTGGATGTTAGGAGGACAGTGGACAAATAGGTAAATCGAACATAAATTTTAAGCTTTCAGAGATACATGGCTAACTTCAACATGCACCCCGAAAGATCATTTAAATTTTAATTTATACCTTTAAAGTTTAAAAATATTAATTTACACCTTAAAAGATATAAATTGGTATCTGCACCTGGGGTAAACTCTATCTATTTTTTCGTTAAAAAAGTTTGGGTTAATTATAAATTATACCCTCCAAGTTTAAATATTTCATATTTATGATCCAAAAAAANGAAGATCATTTAAATTTTAATTTGTACCCTTAAAGTTTAAAAGTATTAATTTACACCTTAAAAGATATAAATTGGTATCTGCACCTGGGGTAAACTCTGTCTATTTTTTCGTTAAAAAAGTTTGGATTAATTATAAATTATACCCTCCAAGTTTAAATATTTCATATTTATGATCCAAAAAAAAATTCATTCACTAATGCTTGTTAAATAACTCTCAATAGTATTGTACTATAACATTTTTATGTCGTGTTCGAGTCAAATAAAAAAAAATAAAAATTTTAAAAAAATATAAAATACCTATTTTTTTTACCTATAATACTCATTAAATAACTATTTTCAATCTACAATTAGACACAAATCTTTTAATTATCTGATTAAATTAAAGTTATATACAAATAACAGAACTGTAGATAAAAAATAGTTATTTAACAAATATTATAGACAAAAAATTGGAAAAAAAATAGTATTATATGAATTATCTTAAATGTGAAATATATGACACAATGTAATTGATTCGACACGAACATATTTTTTTTATTGACTCAAACACAATACGAAAATATTATGATACAATATAATTGAGAGTTATTTAACGAGCATTAATAGATGAAATTCTTTTTGGATTATAAATGTAAAAAATTTAAACTTTTTAGGGGTATAATTTATAATTAATACAAATTTTTTTAACTCTAAAATAAGTTGTAGTTAGTCTCAGGTGCACATTGATTCGTATTTGTACTTTTTAAGATATAAATTAATATTTTAAACTTTGAGAGTATAAATTATAATTTAAATGATCTTTCAGGGTGCAAGTTGATATTAGCCCTACTTATAATATAATAAGAAGTTGGGCACTGAATTTTTCAATTTAATTATTGTTAAAAAAAAAAATGAATTTTTAATTAAGTTTGTGCACCGGTTTGGGCTTTTGTTGCAAATTATGACATCCTAAAAGGACAATTTTTTTGAGTAAATCTGAAGAGGATAATAGAACATTAGAAATATGAGAGATGCTGATTAGATCTAAAAAATTGATCTAATTTATTAATTTTTAATATAATTTTATTGTAACTATTGAAATATCATCAAATTTTACTATTTAATGGTAGTCACAGTTAAGACTGATAATCAAGTCGAACTTGTTGAGCTTGTATTTCTAAATGATCTTAAAAAATTGTTCAAACTTGATTTGTATCAAGTCCGAATCAAGCTTAAATAGGTCTTTAGACTCGTCTTTCTAAACAAGCTTTAAAAAAGGGACATTCGGAAGACAGTACACAAAATTTGATTTAATTATCAAAAAATATGTAGGAAAAATATTTTGTAAAAAAAATCCACTTAAGGCATAAAAAGATTTGAATACCCTTTTAAGTTATGATAAAAAAAACTTAAAATTTAGGAAAATCAAAATTCATAATAAATCCTTTCCATTTTTTTAGAGATATATTTCAACATTTTTGAAATTTTTTAAAATTTGACAATAAAATTAAGAAATTTTAATTATCTTATCTTATAAAGTACTAAAATTATCTTATCTTATTTGAGATTTATATTATATATATAATACTGCAAAGTCACACTATGAAACATAGTTTCTATTACTTTTATACAGCTTTGATACACTGTATTGATACATTTTAAAATTTTGAAAATATACCATAATTATATAATTCTTCAATACTTTTTTCTATTGGTAATTGTAGTTGATTTTTTGTTGGGGTAAATGACATATATTTGATATTATGATTGTGGATATACAAAATTTAGACATTTAATTTCATAAACTATTTATTGTCATACTATATTGATACACTTTTAAATTATAACTTCATATGAATTTAAATTATAAAGTAATTTTATATACACCATGTAATTATGAATTGAACAAATATATAACATAAGTTAGTCCCGAAGAAACTACCACGAAAACAACATACAAAACAAAAAAAAACACTATTTAGAATTCAAATAACAACCATTATTGTAGTGTTTAGTATTCGAAAACAAAACTGTAAAAAAGATTCATAAAACACAAAAATATTTAGAGCAATGCTATATAGCTCAAACAAATCCCAAAATCAACAAGCCAAATTACATAGCACACTCCATGTCATTTGATGGCTCCCACCATATCCTTGCTTTGTCATCACATGAAGCCTAATGAGATATATCTCCCATTTTCTTTTTCTTGTCTTATTTTCTAATGTTATTCGATCTCTCCAAAACGTGAAACCATTTTCTCATAGGTATTTCATTAATTTTTTTAATTTTTTTTAACTGATTTCTCCCACTAATTTTTTGGGTTAATTTTTTTAATTAATCTTTTTGTTAATTTTTAACTAACTTTTTACAGATTTATCTAACAAATTTTTGTGTTAATTTTTTTCCATTAATCTTTTCATTAATTTTTTAATTTAGTAAGTTTGACTAGTCTGAGTGAGTGCCGCATAATCAAGAAATAATGTACAACTATATGCAATTTGTAACTATTCCCACGAAAGCATTGAGTGCATTTAACAAGACCGGTGACTATATATATAACCACCATTCAAAGACTATTAAACTGAACACACAACAATTCTCATTAGAACAAAATTATGACTCAAAGCATACAAGCTCCATAACTAGTAGGGTTCCAACAATTCCTATAAACACAAAATTAAAGGTCTCATATCAAGTACCATATCCAGCAACATTTAAAACGATACAAATCTATGACACTTAACAATACATGCATTCATTTGACAAAATGATTCTTTAATTTTTGAACTTTCGGGTCTTCATTCAATTCAAAATTTGAGGTGAAACTAACGGGTTGCATAGTTGTTATACAGGTACTCCTCCAATTTGGGTAATATTGAGCCTAAAATCAAAGTAAAATAAATAATACAAATAAAGAAGAAATCAAAGTAAAAAAAAATAAAACACATTCACTTGTACCTTAAAACTATTATCACGATTAAATGCTGGATGGATATTTGGTTGGAATCGATGGAAACTTCGTCCTTATTCCATATACTGTTGCTCAAATAAACTTATTTCAATGTTCATTGGTTGACCACTTATATTTGGTCACATGATAGGTTGCTTAAATTCAAGACTTCATCCACTCATATTTGAAGAATGTTTATCCACTTTAATGTAATTTAAAATTTATTTGTAATTTACTTAATATACAATGCCAAATGAATAAATGGTGTTTAAAACAAAACAGTACACAAATTCTTACACTTAATGTGACATTCTCATGTGTTTCGACCACACCTTATTCATCTACAATCTCCTTGACTCCTACAACATGAAAAAAAAAGTTAGCCTTCTACAAAGTTAGAAAAAAAGTGTTGAATGCAAGCTATTAAAATTAGTGTGGCTGCCAAAAAAATATACCTTCACTTTAGCTCCCTCACTAGTTATAGCTCCTCTCTATGTGGCTAAGTTTTTCGGCACCACATTGATTCTCTGCCTTTCTTTTTCTTTCTTTCTTTTCTTCACTGCCTTTTTAACTATAAACTGCTTCCTTTTAATTGNGCATTCACTTGTACCTCAAAACTATTATCACGATTAAATGCTGGATGGATATTTGGTTGGAATTGATGGAAACTTCGTCCTTGTTCCATATACTGTTGCTCAAATAAACTTATTTCAATGTTCATTGGTTGACCACTTATATTTGGTCACATGATAGGTTGCTAAAATTCAAGACTTCATCCACTCATATTTGAAGAATGTTTATCCACTTTAATGTAATTTAAAATTTATTTGTAATTAACTTAATATACAATGCCAAATGAATAAATGGTGT